ATGTATTTCGATGAAGTATTTCCACATATCACATTGTGGACAAGTGATATTTGTGCTATCTTTCTCCGCTCTTCCAGCGTAATCATTTGTAATTCAAGCAGTCGGCATTCGTATGGCGGCTTCCTGAATCTGTGTGGCCACTTCATTTTGCGCAGTGCAAACAATAAAAACTGCTTCTGGATCGATTCAACTCGTGCAATTTTTTCATTGGTGTATGGGTTCCAAATTTGGGAAGCATATTCCACAATCGGCAATACAAATGTGAAAAATAATTTCTTTATTGTCCATGGATCATCAAATTCATATCCAAATCGTTTAATCCATGCTAAACGTGATTTCGCCTCGACGCTATGCCTTCTTACGTCAACGCCAACTGGTGCAAGAACAAGTACTACAAGCACAACGTACGTCAAATTCAAAAGCTTGTATACAAATATATACATGTGTCAATTGCTTATTGAGCGATTTTCTGTTCTCAAGAAATATTTTGACTTTATTTTTATTAAAAAGCGCGAATATTTTTTTTTTCAAAGCAAGAATTTAATCTTGTTATTTTAAAACGTAAAATCAAACATTTTTCTCGTGTTTTTGCGTGTTTTTGTCAACACAAGAGTAACTTAAGAATTGCGAACAAATGTCAGTTCATTTGTTGACGTTCCACGTTCCGATTGTTTCAATGACAACATGAAGTGACATTTGTCGCAGTTATTCATGTTGATGAAAACACGTGAAAACACAAAAATTTCATTTAATTTTATATTTTCTAAAATATTAGAATATTGTTTTTTATTGAAACATGTTTTTTTAAGTTTTTCTCTTCAAGTGATTGCTATATTTATACAAACGTGGTATTTCATTATGTGGTTTGTGTTTGTTTTGGTTTGTTTATTGGTTGATTCATGTCGACACAATGATTCTAATAGTGATATGCTGTGCAATTGAGGCTTGAAATATTTTTTTTTTCTCTTTTGGAAAAAATATCAATGGAATAAGAGAGATATTATTATTATTCTGCACCAGTAATTATATCAGTGTAATGCGAGCAGATTTTTATGTTTTTATGTGAAAGAACTACTATTCAAAACAGTCAATAACAGTATACCCAACGTGTAAGCGTCTGAATACTATTGGTATACAACGGTTCTATTACATGTTCTTGCACCAGTTGTAGGTAAGCTTGAAGGCGCAGTGTCGGTCAAAATACTGGTCTTCATTGGCTTTCGACCTCGATTAGACTTCGGAGCTGGTGTACCATGCTTCAAAGGACCAATTGCTTTCAATGCGTCACGATAATCGGCACCAGATAATGTTGAAGGTAAAGATGATGTGGATGTATTGGAAGCCAACTCAGATGTTTCTGAAGTTTCAATTTCTTCGAACGCGTCTGTTGCAATATCGTCCACATTTACAACTACAATACGGCGTTAGGTTTCTGGATCATCGTCTTCATCATCACTTTCATTTTCTTCATTGGTTTTTGAAGCAATGAAATCAACATCAGTAAAAATGTCTCGATTGAATGGTACAATGCCGCTGGATTTAAATCCGGATTTAATGTTCCTCGGTGTGACGCACAAATCAAGGCATTGGTCGACGATTAGTGGAATGTGGTGCAAATCAAAGGTTACTTTCATATTGCTCTTTTTCCAATCATCATGTTTCGTAGTATACATCGTCTTCATTGGGCCAAATACCGTGATATCTAATGGTTGCATGCGGTGCGTACAATGTGGGGGAAATGACAACATAGTGATATCATGGTTGATGGCTTTATCGATTGCTTCGATGGACAAATGGGCTGTGTGATTGTCGAGCAGCAAAAGCGTTGGCAATCCTTTGCGAGCACCCGAGTGAGTGATGAAGTGGTCCATATACTTTGTGAATTCGTCAGATGTCATCCAGCCGCAGCCATTTGCAATACCAACAGCTCCTTGGCCTGCATGCGTCATATATGTTTCCTTCATATTCTTTCTCGGGAAAAGAAAGTAAGGTGGAATGGATTGGCCCACGGCGCTTACGGATAAAGCCATAGACACATTTGAGCCTCTTTGAGCAGACGTAGATGTGCCAACACGTTTTTTGCCTCTTCGTGCAATGACTTTGATGGCTTTGGTCGAGACAGTCGGAAATCCACACTCGTCCATATTCCATATGCGATGTTCAAAGTTTGTTTGTTCGAGAACAGAACTGAGATTGTCGAAGAAAGCATCAACGCTTTCTTTGTTAAAATGCTTCGCCCGGTTCTGACTGACTTGCTCAGGCGTTCGCAATGATAAATTCTTGTGTCGGTTCATAAATGCATAATACCAGTCTTTGCTGGCTTGCTGATGGGTATTCCATTCATCGGGATATTTGATGTC